ATGTTGTAGATTTAATCCCTAAGAGTGTATACCATAACAGTGTTTAGTATACTTGGTTAATGTAACTATCAGTATTATGCAATTCAAGGACATTTTCATCCTTAAAATATAAATTCTTTGGGGGCTGGAGAGATGGCTCAGAGGTTAAGAGCACAGGCTGCTCTTCCAAAGGTCCTGAGTTCAACTCCCAGAAGCCACATGGTGGCTCACAACCATCTCTAATGAGATCTGGTGCCCTCTTCTGGCATAAACACAGGCAGAACATTGTATACATAATAAATAAATAAATCTTAAAAAAAAAAAAAATCAATTCTGCAATGGTGGCACACACTTTTAATCCCAGTACTCAGGAGGCAGAGGCGGCCAGATCTCTGAGTCTGAGGACAGCCTGATCTACAGAATGAGTTCTAGGACAGCCAGGGCACAGAGAAACACTGTCTCAAAACACCAAAAAAAAAAAAAAAAAAAAAAAAAAAAAAAAGGGTGGGGGAGAATGTCATTAAAATTTCTCTAGAATTTTGTTCATACATTTTTTCCTGTTATAACTTACACAATGCATTCTCTATTTAAGTCACATATACTTAACCCTAAGTTTATTCTACTGTACCATACAAAGAATCTTTTGTAGAACAGTCTGAGGCTAGCCTGGGATCCGGGGTTGAAAATGTCTCACAAACAAATGTGTCTTTCTACATGTCAGGTATGAGACAGGATCTACCTACTCCTGTCCTGGCCTCAAACTCAGAGATCCTCCTGTCTCTGCCTGTAAGCATTTTGTGTCTGTGTGAACTTTCACATGTGTGTCCTGGTGCCCATGGAGGCCAGAGGTGTCCGGTTCAACGGGAGTTGGACAGGTGACTGCCTGAGGTGCTGCATGGATGACCTGAGGCACCTGATGGCCCCGAGTCTCAGATCTTAAGTTTCCATAATCGGGGCTGGGGAGATGGCTCAGTGGTTCAGAGCACTGTCTACTCTTCCAAGTAATGAGTTCAATTCCCAGCAATCACATAGTGGCTCACAACCATCTATACTGTGGACTGATTCCCTCTTCTGGCAGGTATAAATGCAGATAGAACACTCATATACATAAAATAATCTTAAAAAAGTTTCCATATTCAGCTGGGCAGCGGGTGGTGCACACCTTTAATGCCAGCACCTGGGAGGTAGAGGCAGTCGGATCTCTAAGTTTGAGGCCAGCCTCGTCTACAGGGAGAGTTCCAGGACAACCAAGGCCTCATAGAGAAACCTTGTCCTGAAAAAACAAATCAAACCAACCAACCAACACCTCAAAGTGCCATATTCATGATTTTGCAAATTGATTCTACTTCCTCACAAAAAATCCACTTTCACTCTAGGTTGCTCAGGGCCATGGCTTTTAAGGCATTAGGATTTAGTGCTGAGGGCTTACAAGAGCTCTCATCGCCCTCCAGGGTAGGATCCTGTCATAGTCCACATGGCCTCAAACTCAAACTAGCAATTCTTCTGCCTCAGCTTTCCTACTGCTGGGGTTGCAGCTGTGTGGTTCCATACTGAGCCTGACAGGAACTGTCAGGAGCCTGGTAGTCAGCTTTGTGGAGTCAATCTTGTGAAATCTGGATCAAATCCATTGTTTTTTCTTCCCCTCAAACAATGAGCTTATTGAATTTACTTTTTTTTTTTAAATTTTTTAAAAAAGATTTATTTATTATGTATACAGTGTTCTGCCTACATTTATGCCTGCACTCCAGAAGGCGGTACCAGATCACATTATAGATGGTTGTGAGCCACCATGTGGTTGCTGGGAATTGAACTCAGGACCTCTGGAAAAACAACCAGTGCTTTTTAACCTCTGAGCTATCTCTCCAGCCCTTGTGTTTACTTTCATCATGTTGTATACCAGTTAGTATTTTGTAAAGCAAAATACCCTTACATTTAAAATCTATAAATGTCACTGCCTTGTATTAGTCATGTTTTGTTGCTGTGGTAAAACATTATGACTGAAAGCAACTTATCAAAAAGTTTATTTTGGCTTATGTTTTCAGACTAGAGTCCAAATGGTAGGGAAAGGATGGCAGGAATCTGCAGGTTGGCTATATTTTATATGTATACAGGAAGAAGTAAGGAGAGGACAGGAAGTGGGATAAGGCTATACTGCTCACAGCCTAATGCCAGGAGCATACTTGTTCCAGAGAGGCTCTAACTCCTGGAGGTTCTGTAACCTCCCAAACAGAGCCATTAGCCGAAGACCAAGTGTTCTAACATGTGATCCCATGATGACGATTCTCATGCAGACCACCATAAGGCTAAGGTAAAACACACATACCACCTGTACAGTTTTATAGCATATTTAAAAAATGACAGTAACAAATGCACTCCCCGTACTGGGGAATGCTATATCCATTTTTCATTGAACAGGGCATTAAAAAGTAACAGCACTATGTCCAAAGAGAACATATATAATTGCACAAAAGTCATACAAAGCATTAAGAAATGCCGATCAAGACTGCAGTTTCTGGGTTCTGGTGGACACATGCCCTGTGGGGCCTGAAGTCCGGTGGTGACTGCTGGTCCATACAATACTGATAGTCAAAGCTCCTCAGCGGCCACAGGACAAAGAAGCCCATTCCCATTTTGGATTGTAACGAGGGGTTTCTGTTGCAGTGGTGGGAGTTAATGATGTCACTGCCACCTTTTTATCACCCCAGGAACATCTGAAAACACTTCAGTTTTAAAAAAGATCTGCCAAGGTCTAAAGCTTGCACAATCTGCTTAACTTTGGGCCTTAAATGCTACTTCTGGAAATTAAGAATAAAAACCTTAGCCACACAGTGAAACCATCTTCTGTGCAGGGTTCTTGATCACACCACTGACGTGGCTACCCACTTAAAGTTCTTTCTTTTGGTTTTTTGAAACAGGGTCTCTCCATGTAGCTCTGGCTGTCCTGGTCTACTATGTAGACCAGGCTGGCCTTGAACTCACATATCTGCTTGCCTCTGCTGAGTGCTGGGATTAAAGGAATGTGGCACCTCTGCCTGGCTTGATATGTGAGAACTTTCATTTATTATCGTCTAGTCATGATGGTTCCAACTCAAATCCCAAGTCTGTTTAATTGCTGGGAACATGTATAGAGGAGGGTAGTGCCATTTTCCCCGGGGGAGAGCATACTGTGCTTTACTTATGGTCTGCTCTGAACACAGGAGAGCAGAAGGCAACAGCAACACTTTCTACTTGCAGTCTCCATATTATTATTATTATTTTTTTTTTTTGGGGAACTGAGCTCTTATATTTATGGTTGTGAGCCTAGCTTTTAATGGCTGAGCTGTCTTTCTAGCCCTTATTTTCATTTTTTAATCAGGTTCTTACTCTGTAGCTCAGGCTAGTCTTGAATTCATAGCAATCTTCCTGCTTCAGTCTTGTAAGTGCTGTGATTACAGGTGTGAACTATAATGCCTGGGTGCAGTCTGTCTGTATTATTCACAAAGTCAAAAGAGGGAATGCATCATGGATGTTTGGAAAAGTAGAAAAAGTGAAAACTTTGTTGACTTAAGGCCTAAGTTTCAAGACAGAATGCTGACAGTGAGAATTTATTCCTTTCCGACTGGAGAGAAGTTAGTAAGGGCTGGGTGTGAGTATGTGCGCTTGCCTGACGTATGAAGACCTGGGCTTACCCTTAAGCAAGAGAATAAGCAGAAGAAAGGAGGGAGGAGAGAGACCATGGCCATTACTGTTAAAACAAACAGGGGACATGGAGGTTGTCTTACTATGTGGTCCAGGTTGGTCTCTAGCGCACAATCCTCTTGCCTTTGCCTTCCAAGCGCTGCGATTATAGAGGTATGCCACCACACCAGCTGTACACAGAATACTATCAGTGTATTTGCTCTATGTGTGTGTCCATGCAAACGTCATAGCACGAGTGTGAAGGTAACTGGTCAACCTTAGAGAGCTGGTTCTCTCTTGTCACGTGGATCCCAGGTATTTAACTCATCCTTGGTGGCAAGTGCCTTCATCCACTGAGCCATGTTGCTGACCTCTACAAGTATTTTAAGTCATGATTAGAGGCACATAGCCTTAGAGACTATGAGAAGATATTAATCCTGACTCTAGTATTTCTACTACAGGTTTTTTAATTTAAAAAAAAAAAAAAAAAATCTGGCCTTCCTGATAGGAGATTCTGAAATAACCACATAAAATCATAATGTGATACTGGATATCCAGACAGGGTACCTTCATTTAAGTGCTATTTTTTTATTTTAATTTTAATTTTTTCGGCTTTTTGAGACAGGGTTTCTCTGTGTAGCACTGGCTACAGGAGCTGGGCATGGTGCAGGCAGATCAGCAGTTTGAGGCCAGCATCAATTGCATACTGAGTTTGAGGTCAGGCTGGGCTATGTAAGATCCTGTCACAAAGCAAATCAAAGCAAACTGGGAAGGACAGAGGCACAGAGTGACGTTTTTGCCAAAGAAAAGAACCTATAATGGAAAGGAAGGTGGATGCTTGAAAAAAGAATACTCTTTAAATTGAAGAAAGCAGAGCTTAAAGCCTGGATCTGCAGAGAGACAAAGATACTTTCAGGTCCTAAGTAACCAAAATGGCAAGAAAGATCCGAGACTCTTTTGTTGGCTGGTGTTGCTGAACTGTGCTGAGTGGAAAGACTACAGGACACCTGTGTTCCCTGAGGCTGGAGAGGTCCCATAGATATGTAGAACTTGGAGCAGAGATGCAAAGGTCAGGGAAGATTCATATTGGCCACCTCAAACATGAACAGATAGCTTTTAGCACAGGCAGAAACACTGGTGAAGTTAAACATGAGCCTCACATAATCATCTTAGGATATTACATGGATCTCAGCAAAATTGCAGAAAGGAAAGAAGAGAGTTCTTTGCTGAAATGTGTTAAATAAAATGTAGGGGTAAACCAAACCAAACCCCTACATTACATTCACATGTTAAACTTTCTGGATCGTTAACTTGTCAGATTAATGTCACTAAAGTCCTAGTAACAGATTGTCCCAGAGTCCTCGTTTCCAGGTTTACATCTATTTAACATGGAAGCGTCCTCATATACAAAGATCTCCACTCATACAGCTGTGCAATGCCCCTCAGAGACACTGACTACTTGCATAGGCAGGGATGCCAGCCTGGCTCCCAGGCTCTAAGTGCGCTACAGCAGTGGTCAAGAGGCCCTGCTGCAGATCTGCTCGATGTCACTCCTCTCTTTGGGACAATCTGCAGAAAGGATAAGAGGTGAGTCCTCAGTCACCACTACATCATCCTCAATCCGCACTCCGAGACCTCGAAACCTCTCTGGGGCATCTCTGTCATCCTCTGGAATATAAATGCCTGAAGAACAGAGAGAAGGGCTATGATCAGTGACATAACAGTGGATTAGAAGCAAGTTCACCACTGTTACAATTTCCTCGTCTGTGCCTGACGGTTCTGCACTCACGTACCTCAGAGCTGTGAGAAGTACACGAATGACAGCACACACACAGTCTGTGGACAGGAAGCTCAGTCAGGTGGCTCTCATTAGCTAGCATTACGATGGTTACAGCTGCTTTCTTTAGTGGACTACAGGCTGCCCTGAACTATGGAAGTACTAATCATGATTCTGTCATGGTCTAGTGGTTCAAGGTCGTCACTAATTTACAAATATGTTATATATATTAGGAACTAGCAGATTACATAAATGTGTATCTTTCCTTGCCTAAAAATACTCTGCTATTTAGTTAAAATAAAGTATGAAGTTGGCTGTGATGGCACACACCTGTACCTAGGAGGCTGAGGTAGGATTATCAGTTAATTCCTGGCTTAAATCAAAACTAAAACCAAAACAAGAGCTGGGCGAGGCAGCACACAGCTGTGATCCTAGTACTTGGAGGCAGAGGCAGGCAGATCTCTGTGAGTTCAGGGCCAGCCTGGTCTACAAAGTGAGTTCCAAGACAGCCAAGGCTACACAGAGAAACCCTGTCCCACCAAAAAACAAAAAACCAAGCCAAACCATACAAACAAAAACTCCAAAAATGAAGGAAAAAAAAAAAGATACAGTGAATTAAAACATTTAAAATATAGAGGTATAGCCAAAGCCACAAAAACTGGCAGTATAAAGTTTTTTTTTCTTTCTTCAAATAAGCTATGAGAAAAAAGATCTAAATGTATGTATTTAGAAGGAGCTGGAGAGATGGCTGCTTTACAACTGGGTTAAGTCCCCAGCGCCCACAAAGGGGCTCACAGCTATCTGTAACGTTAGTGAAAGATGCAACATCTTTCTCTGGCCTTCAGACGCTGCACACATGTAGTGCACATACACACAGGCAAATACCCATCTACATACATCAAAAACGAAGATTAAAAAAGATTACTGCGTGTTTGGAAAAGTCTAGATGCCCCAGAGACTTCCTGTGAGTCCCATGAACCAAGGCGGGCTCTGAACTCCCAGTCTTTTGTGCTGGGATTACAGGAATGCACCACCATGCCTGGTTTCCAGGCACGCCTCCTAAATCTCAAGTCAAGTGGATTTTTAGGCCTTTGCATAGTAAAGAAGCTGAAAACTAGCCGGACATGGCAGTGCATAAATTTAATCATGGCGTTCTGTAAAAACAGAGGCAGCTGGATCTCTAAGTTCGAGGGCAGCCTGGTCTTTTAAAGAGTGAGTTCCGGGACAGTCAGAGCTACACAGAGAAGCCCTGTCCTGAAAAAAACAAAACCAACCAGCCAATCAAACAAAAGAACCTGCAAACTTCCTCAGTCTTAATAAAAGACCAGCAATGGAGGCAGCCTGTCTCACGCCATTTCAGACTCTGGGTTCTGTTCTTACAGTGCGAGCTGCACCATTTTTTTTAAGCGTCAACTCTGTTAACAACCTTTGCATCCACTGTGGTCACCTCGCTTTCCACTCTGCCCAACAGGCACTCATCTGAGTCAGGTTGCCGCGGGATGATGGAGGGTAGTTCACTGGAGGCGGCAGGATGTTGCAACAGACCACTACTAACTGTGAGACTGCCACGAATTGGTCCTGGTGGGGGCTGGAGAGATGGCTCAGAGGTTAAGAGAGCACTGACTGCTCTTCCAGAGGTCCTGAGTTCAATTCCTAGCACCCACATAGCGGCTCATGACTTAGTCCTGGCAAAGTCAGGATTAAAAAAAAAAGATTTATTTCTTAATATCGACTTACAGAAAGCATTTGCCATCCTCTGTTTATCAGAGGAGTCAAATGAAACAAAGTATACTGTGAATTAAGAAAACTCGAGTCAAACTTGAACCCTTACAGAAAGAAAAATAAGCAATGCATACTCTGGTGTTGATCCATCCCCTACCTGGTTCAACTGTGATCACCATACCAGGCTGCAGAGGGAGTGATCGAGGCATGTCTGGAGTGTCATGGACGTCCATTCCGAGGTAATGGCCAACATGATGAGGGCAGTATTTCCGAGCTGCCTAGAAAAGATAATGACCACAGTACTATGAGGGCAAATTTGGCATTTATAAAGCAGTGAGATGTTAGCCACCCGTTTCTGTTATGTATGCTTAACCTATCTTTGGACTAATGCTTGAGAGATCTGACAAACTGCAGCTTTTGTGGGGGTGTGTGGTATGCCTGTGTTGCATGTGCTGTGCGGGCACACAGGCCCATGACGTGCCTGTGGAAGCCAGAAGTCAATGGCGGCTGTCTCCCTCTCCAGAGCTTCCCTTGTGTCTTGACTGACTGGCTGGCTGGTTGACGGTGTTTGCGTGTAGGTGTGCATGCCTAATGTGTGTGTGGAGAAGAGTACGGCTGGTTCTCTCCTCCACCTCCCACCCGGGGACTGAACTGAGGCCATCAGGCTCGCTGTCACATGTCACTATATACACGGAACTATCTTGTCATTCCCCCAACTTGATGAACTTGAAGCTCTTGGCCGGCTAGATTAGAAGGTGAGGAAGTCCCCAGAGGTTTCTCCGGTCTCTACCTCAATGCTGGGATTACGGGAACAGGCTGCCATGCTTAGTCTTTTCTTTCTTTTTAAAAAATTTACTTAATTTTACTTGTGCTTGCCTACCGGCATGTATGTATATTCTGTATCTACCTCCTGACCTCAGCGGCCTGAAGAGGTTGTCAGATCCCTTGGAACTGTAGTTACAGGTGGTTTTGAGCCTGTATGTATGTGCTGGGAACTTGGGACCTCTAAAAGAGCAGCCAGCACTCCCAACCTTTGGGCCATCTCTCCAGCCCCCACATCTACCTTTTTTGTTTATTTGTTTGCTTTATTTTTTTGAAACAGAGTTTCTCTGTGTAGCTCTGACTGGCCTCAGGGACCCACCTGTTTCTATCTTCCAAGTGCTGGGATTAAAGGCATGTGCTCTGATGCCTGGCCACACCTGCCCTTTTCTGTGGATGCTGGGGATCTGAACTAGGTCGTCATGCTTGTATTAGGAAGTACTTTACCCACTGAACCAGGTCCATGCCTGGCAAACTGTTACTTCCTCTATGCATACTTACAATACTGCATTCCATCCCACTGTTAAACTTATTATACACGAGCAAAGGAATTCCAGCAATAACTGACAAAAGGGTATAGTTCAGAGGTATCTGCCTACCACATACAATCTCTTCAATTTAACCCCTAGTTCTAGGGGGAAAATCTTTTTGGCGAAAAGGAGGAGAGCAATGTTCTATTATCTCTTCAATTCGTATATCTTAAAAAAGAAGACACAAAATAGGAACACACACTTGGAATCCTAACTCTTGGTGGGTGGAGTCAGGAGAATCGGGAGTTAAAAGCCATCTTCAGCTGTTGAGTTCAATGGGTCCCTCCCCCATATAAGATATAACTCACACATCTCTCTTGGGTAGTCTACTCTAGAAACCCTAAGTATCCTATGTCAAATTGTGGTGCAGGTATGATTGTGTATTTACTGGCTTAGATATTTCTATCAGTTAATTCAAGATTTGTTGGCTTAGCACAGGGAATTTATTAACTTCTTTGCTAATAGGAGTCCTGGAAGTCTACACTTGGAGATGGAAGATGCCTAATGTTTGTGTGGTTCAGGATTTGCAGTTATATTGTATACCATTACATTAAGGTGGAGGCAAAACCCATTAAAGGCAGCCCTTGGGCATTTTGCTAAGTCTGAAGCAATAAACAGCCTTCCCTCTGACCTGCAGAACCCCCAGGAAAGGATTAGGAGTTAACCTTCTCTCCTTGTTTGTGTTCCTTGCCACCTGCCTGTACAGACCTCATCTTATGTTTCTGAGTACTACACTGGCTCTATAGCAGCCAATGAATCAGAATGTGCTGCCATCTTCTGGCAAAAATAAGTACGGACTCATTCTGTTGTAATCCATGTTATATGGATTGCAAAGAACTAAAAGACAGTGTCTAAGCAGGGCATAAATTGAGCAGCATGCTGGATCTTCTTCAGGACTGGAGTGAGGAGGAGGAAGGTACCTTGAAGGTGTTGTCCTTGTTGGTCTTCACGATGCCCAGATCCTTAAGCTTCTGTCCTATCAGTGTGAGCATCATACTGTAGATGTTCTCCAAACTTGTCCCAGGAGAGCACAGTGTCAGACAAGCTCTCTGGATCTCTAGAACAGCTTCATAGAGTTCTGCCTGAGGTGCTGTGAATCTAGGAACAGGAAAGTGAAGGAATGTAAGCTATGTGTCCGGTGCTCAGCCTTGGCAGGAGGTGTTTTACCAGACAGCCATCTTGCTGGCCCTTCAATAGTTTCTTCAGGTTTACTTTAGTGATTTAAACGTTTTCTTCCTTTTTATTTCTTCCTGGTTCTGTGGTTTGAACCAAAAGCCTGAGAATACTAGGCAAGTACCTATCATTTTCCTTTCCTGTTTAAGCATTTAAAGTGTATGAACTTCTGAACTGAACTGGCCGTTGTGATAGAAGACCCAGTAATCTCAATATTCAGTAGGCTGAGGCAAGAGGATTGTAACTTTGAGTCTACCCTGAGCTACACAGTAAGCTTGCAATAGCTTGGGTTACTTAGTCAGATCCTGACTAAAAGAAAAGCCACAAATTTTTGCTTCAGTTGTATTCTCCTAATATTTACATACAGTATTTTTGTTACTATTCCATCTGAAATACATTGCAATTTATTTTGCTGATGCCGCTTTTTTTTTTTTTTTTTTTTTTTTTTTTTTTTTTTTTTTTTTTTTTTTGGAGATAGGGTTTGTATATCCCTAGCTGTCCTGGAACTTGAGCTGTGGACCAGGTTAGCCTCAAGGAACTCAGAGATCGGCTTGCCTCTGCCTCCTCAGTACTAGGATTAAAGGATGTGCACCACCACTGTTTGGCTACTGAAGCTTTGTACCGCAAGTGATGCAGAATGCATTTACTAGCTTCTGTTAATTTTTTAATTAGAGTTTCAGTATGAAGTCCAGGCTGGCCTTGAACTGTTATATTAAAAAAAAAGTGTGTGCATTGTGTGTCCGCATGGAGGTCAGAAATGGGGCATGAGATCCCTGAGGACTTAAATTACAGGCATGCGCGAACAGTCTGAAGTGCTTGCTGGGATCCAAACTCCAGTCCTAATACACGGCAGTAAGTGCTCTTAACTGCTGAGCCATCTCTCCAGCCCCTGGCCTTTACCGCTTTATCATCCTGCTTCAGCTTCCTGAGTCCTGGAGCTAGAGAAAAACACTACCACATCTGTCTCATACTCATTGTTTTCTAACTATTTGGAGATTAAAAAAAAGATTTACGTTTCTTTTAAATTATGCGCTCTCTGTGCTCAGGATTTGTGCATGTGAATGCAGGACTGCATAAGGCCTCTGGAGCTGGAGTAACAGGCGCTGGGAGCCACCCAACCTGAGTCTTCTGAAAGAGGAGCAAGAACTCTTTTTTTTTTCCTCCTTTTTTCTTTTTCCTTTGTTGTTGTTTTGGAGACAGGGTTTCTCTGTGTAGCCTTAGTTACCCTGGACTCTATTAGTAGACCAGGCTGGCTTCGAACTCATAGCAATTTGCTCACCTCTGCCTACTGAGTGCTGGGATTACAGGTGTGAGCCACCACTCCCAGCTCACTGTAGTTAAGATTTACAGAGAGACAGCTCAGTGGTTAAGAAAACTGACTGCTCTTCCAGAGGACCTGGGTTTGACTCTCAGTGCCTACATGATGGCTCACAATTGTCTATAACTCCAGTTTCAGGGGATCCAATGCCCTCTTCTGTTTTCTGCATGTATTGACACAATACATGCAAGCAAAATACCCATACATATAAAACAAAACAAAACAACAAAAGATTTACAGTTTTTCCCTATAGTAGATACTCTTTAGTACCTTCATATTGTTTTTAATATTTTGTTGAGCTTTTATAATTCTGTGTGACATGAGGATATTCTACCCATGAGAATATTCTATTGTACCTTGAATAAAGCCTTGTAATGAGAAGGAAAAAAGCAACAACAACAAGACTCACAGCTGTATATACTAAGACAAAGTGCACGAAGTTCTTGTGTTAAGTCTTTCTATGTGCCTTTCTATGCTACGTAATGAACAAAACGGCCAAAACAAAACAAAAACCCACAACAACAACAAACCAGTAAGAAGCTTCATAAAGATAGCTAGCTTGACCTCCAGTTACATCTCTACGCTAACTCAAATGCTGAGGTGCCAGGGGGCGTGTCACTCTGTAGAGTCCCTACCTGCCGCTGACAGGCCATGTCCGGGTGATGTCACTCACATAGCAGGAAGACTCACAACCTCCATCAAGAAGCACCATTTCACCATCCTGGAACAAAAAATAAAAGGGGAGGAGGTTGTAGCTGGTTTTTGTGGGTTCTTCTTTTCCCCACCCTTTACCCTCCACCCCCCACTTCACCCCTGCCACTAGATAGGAGAGAAAGCAGGATAGAAGGAAGAAAAGAGACAGAGAGATCCTTAAATCTAATTTCTTTTTTCTTCTTTGAACATGACTACTAACAAACCACAACCAATCCCTCTGAATAACCAACAACTACCCACCTTATCTATCAGGGCTCTAGCATTTATATACCCCCTGAGAAAACCCCAGCATTCTGAACATCACAGAATTACAGAAACTATCTGCAGCTGGCAAAACCATGCCTCTGCCAGAGAGCAAGGCAAATCAAAGCTGCTGGGAAGTAGCCCCACATCCCTACCCCTAGGATTAAAACAGCATTTCTATGTTTTTTAAGAAATCAAAATTCCACAATTCTCACTACAAGAGGTAGCAATCTCCCAAGTGCAAATTGTTTCTTCTTGTCTAAACATTTTTGGGAGCACTGGAGAGATAGCTTGGCAGTTAAGAGCTTAGGAGTTTGAAGACAGCCTGGGACACAGGGTTAGACTTTCAAATTCCACTCCTCAAACTAGAGTACAAGCAACATTCTTTTTTTTTTTTTTTTTTTTTTTTTTTTTGGTGAAAAATGATATGTTTCTAAATAAAAAACTAAACTGTTGCAATGTTTTAATTTTCATGAATTTCTGTTTACTTCGGTAGGAAAGGTGGCGAGTCTTAGAATGGCCTTGGCATTCATGCTATTGACTATCATGTCACAAAGTTTTTAGGTTGCTCTACTATATACTTGTGACCAGTATCTTAGTAGTCTCATGAAAATTTATTTAACCCTTTGGACCACATTTTGTTGTTCTAGAGCAGTGAACTAAAGGCAGCTGTTTGTCAGTAGGACTGCTGTCCAGAAGCTACGAACACATGGTTTCAAAGCTGGGTATGGTGGTGCAGGCCATAATGCCATTACCTGGGAAATGGAGGCAGGAGGGTCATTCCAAGTTTAAGGCCAGCATGGGCTACATGAGAGAATCCTGAGCTAGCTTGGGCTATGGAGTAGGACCCTGCCAGCATCACCACTGTGCCCCCAAACAGTCTCTGAGATTTATAAAGTTAAAAATTAAACAAAATCAAATTATCTAAATATATATTAGTGGTAAAATAAAGAAAATTAAGGTATAGACTAGAATGTAGCTCAGCAGAGTGCTTGCCTAGGATGCACAAAGCCTTGGGGTCCACCCCCGTTACTGCACGGAATGGGGTCTCATGGCATCTACCTGTAATCCCAGCTGCAGAGAGGGAGAGGCACAGAGGAAGGTTCTGGGTCATTCTTGGCTACACACTGGGTTCAAGGCCAGTCAGGGCACCATCAGACCCTGTTTCTAAAACACCACTCCCACCAACCAAACAAAAAGAGAAAACAAAGACATGGTTACCACCACAAAAAACAAATACCTGAAACAAAGAAGACCCTGAAGTAGTAGTGAGAGGAAGCCCACAAAGGAAAACGCCAGCTCGGATAGTCCCACAGTCGTGCTTTACACACTGCAAGGGAGGCAATCCGCCTGGATCCGTCCAGCTGCAGCCTCAGACGCTGCCTGCCTGCACACCATCGATTGCTAATGATTAATGCTTATTTTTTTATCCACTAAGCAAGCATACTAGTAACTGTTCTTACTTAACAGGGCTACTTCAAAGACTAATGAAATTATATCTAAAAAAACATTTTAGACCATTTGTGAAGGGAAAGGTAGCAAGTTCTCTGTTGGGGATCCTGGTCCTCTCCAGAGCAGAATGCAAGGGCATTCTGATTACCTTGATGAGCTGATTATTCTTCACATAGTGCAAAGTGTTGGAGCGGTTACCACCTGCAACCACAGGCGGGTAGGCTAAGATGTCCGCACCTCGGGCCCGGCACTCAAATTCAAACTGAAAAACAACAATATTTGACTCACATAATTTCTGTGGACTTGTCCCAGTCCAGGCTGTCTTCATCCACCGCAGAGGTGTGTACTGTGGGTCATTACTGGAAGACTGGCCATACTTAACAAATATTTTATGGCATCAGCGCCCACATTTCTTTACCTCTTACCTGCTATACTTTCTAGTCTATAAATACTCTCTTACATCAATCCTGTTATCCAACTTTACTATACATAGGTATTTTTTGAGACATGAGCTCATGTATCCCAGGTTAACCTCAAATTTACTATACAGCTGAGGATGTCCCAGAATTCCTTCCTGATTGTCATGCAGATACTTCCTAAGTGCTGGAATTTGACACATACCAATACATCTGGCCTCAACCTTATTATTTAATCTCCTGTAATTTAAGCTTCCAGTGGTTTTCAAAGTAAGTCCAGAAGAAGACAGAAAATCTGTAAAGAAGGCTGAGTCCACAAACACATATCAGGCTATTTTTATTAGCTAAACAACAAGATATGGCTTATATTTTTAACAATACCTCTATATGGCTAATTTCAGTCTTAGAAATAATTACCAATCTAAATGCTCTGGGTAAGTGGAAAAGGATGCTGGGAAATTGTAAATTCTGCCACCTTTCGCAGACTCTGAGGCTGTCCCACTGGCCCCACCCAAGTGCTGCCTCAGACCTTTTCTTCTTTTACAGGCACCCAGTGTTGGGTCTCCTTTCATTGGCTCTGCTCTGCACTTTTCTTCAATACAACACTGCGTGTGTTTCACTCATAAAAGTTAACAGTAACATTTGAGAAGAAGATGCCATCACTTTACATCTGCCTGCAAGCCATGACACCGGTGAACCATGAACTCACCATGCATTTGCCCCAACCGGACCTTTCCCACTACCTGAAGCTCACCTTTGCATAAAGAAAGGCTTCGTCTACTGGAGCTTTACTGGCAAACATGGTTTCTATGAAAGCCTGCAAAGAGATGGAGGAGGAAATGAATATAGACTCATGTTGTCTGTTAGGCAAACATTCAAAATATTGGAATTCAAATAAAAAGCGCCCTTTCCCAGCTGGGCATGGTGGCCATGCCAGGGCTACACAGGGAAATCCTGTCTCAAAAAAAAAAAGTTGTTTTTTTTTTTTCAGTGAACCATCCCACGATTAGGTTTGAAGTAGCAGATACAATGAAGTTAGTGGTGTTTGGAAACCTTAAGGAGCTGGAAAAATGGACTGGAAGGAAAATGATAATTGGTAATAGGTCTGCTAAATGCTCAGGGTGTAGCAATGGCTAAAATTAAGCTAAAGGTCCCTGCGATGAGCTTCTCTCTTTAGTCAGCAGGTGGAGCTCTAACCAAAACAGGCCACGGTAACGTCACAGTAAAGATGAACTGTGATACAACTGAAATTAATCAGTAATAAGTGGTGCTGCAACACTGTGAGAAATCAGGGATCAAAGAGTTGTCAGTGAAGGAAAGAAGCCACTTTCTAGGTCACTATATACAACACTTTATAAACCCCTGTAAAAAAAAAAAGTTTTCTGGGAGTTTTAAAGGAGTACCATTTCTTTCTCTCTCTTTAGACAAGATCTCACAAAGTAGCTCTGGCTGGCCTGGAACTTGGTATGTAGTTCAGGCTGGCCTATGAACTCACAGACATCTGCCTGCCTTTGCCCTCCCCCCACCCTGCCCCAAGGTGCCCATCAGTATGCTCAGCAATGAGTGAGAGCCCTTGCTTTAAACAGAAATAGGCTGATCAGACTAAGTGAAAGCTCACCTGAATCCACAGAGCAATGACATATTTATCAAGAGCCTTACTACAATTTCCTTTTATTCCTTCTGCCGCCTGACCAAGCCTGGAGTTCAGAGGAGGGCATCTCAACGGAAGAAGAAGAAAGTGGTCACTAAGCTAAAGCACATGTTGCCTCCGTAGCTGATCAAGGAACTAGGCAAAAGTAAGGGCCCTAACCACTTGTGTGAATGCTCACTTGGGCCACTGTCAGCAGGCTGGCAAACGGTGTGATAAGCAGACGTGGAGCATGGATAACTGGACAAGGCCCCATCCACAGTGAAGCACCTGCATACGCTGTCGCAGGAGCGAGGGAAACATGGTCCTTCTTGTCATTCACTGTGTACTCCATGGCAGTTAAACAACTGTTTACATAAAGAAGAAAGAGGAGGAGGAAAGGAAGGAAGGAGGGAGGGAAGGAAAGAAGGAGCTCCTTTATGTAGGAAACTGTTCTTTGAAAGCCTCTATGGCAGTTTGGAAGGCTGCTGAAACTCATGAAAGAAACCCTCTGTCAAGAAGCTCAAGGAGACTGGAAGCAACAAGGTTATGTCTCATCTGATCTCTTGACATGGTGATCAAGGCTGTGATAGCAGTGAAAGAAGTTCATCAGCATCGTGCTCATCAGTGACATCTTGTACTGGTCCCAGCAGAGCACAAAGTGTTAATAAAATGTGTCCTGTCAGCAAACAATCTGTGCAATGAAAGCAGTGGAGTAGCTTAATGGTGAAACCAGAATGTCTACGTCAGTGGAAAATAGGGTTAAAATTGATGATATAATTGATTGTAGTAACCATTTCATTATGCATACTGTTAAAGTCATCAAAGTCAAAGGAAGTTGCTTAACTCAGTTCTAACTAAAAAATAAGACAAGGACCAGTGAGACGACAGTGGGTAAAGTGCTTGATACGCAAACCCTCGAATCGATGTAAAAATTTCTATGTAAAGAGACTATCATAAATTGTCTTATGATTCTCCATAAGCAACTGCACCATGTGCACATAATAAAAAAAGAAAGGGTCTCATGCATGACTGTCTAATACCTATCAGCAGGATTACCAGAACCACAAACTTTCAAAAGGTCACTGCAATCTTATGTAAAACATACTCCTGCAAAACTTGTCTATCTAACCTCAGACTGGCACTAACCCTGTTACTCATTCTTGCGGACAAGGATTATTGCTTCAAAATGTTGCACAATCTTCACTTTTGCCTTGAAAAAGTTTCCCTTTGCCGTACATTGGATGCACCCCCAGCTTACTAAACATCCCTGCCGCATGTTACTCTCAAACGAGTAACACTGCTTTTTGGAGACTGTTACTGAGGCTGACAAATACATCATCAACCTTCTGTAGAGGTTAAACAGAGACCACAAAGTCCAGAAAGGCGGCTCAGAGGGTAAAGGTGCTTGTCACTAAAACCAACAGACCTGAGTTTGATTGCAGAACCCACATGGTGGAAGGAGAAAACAATCTCACCCGTTGTCCTCTTACCTCCTCAAATGCACCATGGCATGTATCTCTCTATTACAAATAGAGGAAATAAGTAAATTAAAAATAATAAATGAATAAATAATAAATGAAAAAAAGGCAGGATTATTGCTGTGGTGATGGGAACCAATCAATGGGTGCTACAAAAGCTCAAGAAATGTTTCGTGTGGGAGCAATGCTCACTGCATCAGAACGATATTCTTTTGGCTTTGATTCAGATGCCCTTCAGGGTGAAGGATTACAAATCTCCTCTATGTAACAGGTATACATAACCTAACAAGAACTTAAGGAAGAAGAGCTGGGCACATGATTTCTGGCTAGACACAAAAAATAGAAATGAGACCAGATTTGTTTAGTCTATAGTTTTCTTTCTTTTTTTAAAGATTTTATTTGTTATGTATAAAGTGTTCTGCCTTCGTGTACAGCTACATGCCAGAAGAGGGCACGAGATCTCATTACAGATGGTTGTGAGCCAACATGTGGTTGCTGGGAATTAAACTTAGGATCCCTGGAAGAGCAGCCAGTGCTCTTAACCCGGTCATCTCTCCAGTCCTCTTGACTGTAGTTTCTTAGGAAGGATATATTGGGAAACAACCTATGGAAATACTTGAAAACACACAGTAACAATAATGTGACTGAATACTGTGTATCCAGCCATTAATTGTGATTAAGATAAAAGTGCTAAAATATAATGACAAAAAGTTACATCTGGGCAGTGGTGGCCCATGCCTTTAATCCCAACACTTGGGAGGCAGAGGCAGGTGGATCTCTGAGTTTGTGGCCAGCCTGGTCTACAGAGTGAGTTTCAGAGCAACCAGGGCTACACAGAGAAACCCTGTCTTAAGAATCAAAAACAAACAATCCCCCCAAACAAAACAAAATTTTGATATGTGTGCTATAACATAGATGAACCTTAAAGACATTAAACTAGAAATAAGCCAGACACAAAAGGCTAAAAATATTGTATAATTCTGTTAATATGGGATAGAGGAGGAGAGACCGAGTTATTGTTTAATGCATACACTGTTTTAGTGCGGGATGATAAAAAGCTCTGAAGAGGAATGATGGCTATGATATATAACAATGAAATACTATACACTTAAAAAATTACTAGTGCAGTGGGTCATGGCGGAACACACCTGTAATCCCAGCACTTGGAAGGCACAGCAAGTAGATCTCTGCACGTTTGAGGACAGCCTGGGCTTCACTGAGAGTTCCAGATCAGCCAGGTCTACACAGTGAGACCATGTATATTAAAAAACAAAACAAAACAAAACAAGACTAGTATGAGTTGGGTATGGTGCTATAAAGTGAGAATCAGTTTCAGAAAACAAGTTTGTGTTAATATGGTTAATTTTTTATTTTATCACAATAAAGAACTGGGGTTTGTTTGTTTTTAAAAATAGTCTATATCAGTTTGTCAGTACTCAGTGAAACTAATACTCGATTAACAAAAAACAAAACCCCTGGAGAGCTTTACCAATCTCTGTGACAAAGTAAAAAATCCCACATGGCGACTGTATCTTGGGGCCCCTGATTCTGGTAGTCTGTGCAAGTGCTATGAATGGAATTACGCTCTCTCAAAATTCATGTGCTGGGCCACCACGGACCTGCAAATGCAGACAGAGTCTTTAGGGGATGTGGTGGTCTGAATGAGAATGGCCCCCATAGGCTCATATATTTGTAGGCTTAGTCCCCGGCCAGTGAACTGTTTGGGAAGGATAAGGAGGTGTGGTCTGGTAAGAGGAGGCATGTTGCTGGGAATGGGCTTTGAGGTTTCAAAAGCTCACACCAGTCCCAGTGTCTCTAGCTCTGCCTGCTGCCTACAAATTAGGATGTAACTCTCTTAGCTACTGCTTCAGTGCCATTCCTGTGTGCTTCCTACCATGATGATCATGGACTAACTCTGAAACTGTAAGCAAGCCCCCAGTAAAATGCTTTCTTTTGTAAGAATTGCCTTGGTCATGGTGTCTCTTCACAGCAATAGAACAAGTTACTGAGACGGGGGTAATTAAGGTCAAGTGAGGCCATAAGGGTGGATCCTTAATCTGACAGGACTAAGGCCTAATGAAAAGGCACTCACCTCATGTAAGGACATAGCAAGAAGTTGGCTGTCTGAAAGACAGGAAGAGTGGACTCATCAGAAACTGACCATTTTGGCAACCTAACCTGAGTCTAAAGGATGAATGAGAGAAAATACATTTCTACAAATATCTGATTTATGAAAGAAAATGATCCTGCTTAGCCCTAAGGCATGGAGGACAATGAGGGTGCACCTAGCTCTGGATCTCATGCTACAGGAGAGTCTGGCCTCTACACACCTTCATATGTTTGTTCTTCTTATTTTGTGCCTTATGTAAGTATCTTATTTCATGGTTTAACTTCGTTTTTAAGTATCTTATGGTGTATGTATTAATACGCACTCAGTAGAAACTATATTTCTAATCTCTAAATTTAGATCTTTTGAGTGAGACACGAGAGTGTGGTCTTTCTCACTGTGCTGAGCAGTGGCAGTGAGCCCTAGCTCTCAGCCACAAGCTCTCAAGGACAGCTACGATGCTCACTAGGTCAGATGTCTACCATACATCACCAGTGTGCAATGCTTCCAATGACAGGTGTGTTGCAACCTAATCCCATCCTAAGTCTAAGAGCACGCATAATGAACTAGGTTAGTAAACACTGTCATTAGGTATCCTGAGCCTCTGTCAGCAACCAAACTCTGATTCAATTAGTCCTGTTGTTTCAAAGAGGCAACAACTAACACTAATGCATAAAAGATCTGTAGCCGGCTTTGCTGCTTTGTGGTTTCTCCGTTTCCCATCTTTTATCTACATAATTTCAGTCCCTATCACCAGACAGGAGAGAAAGAAGGATAGAAGGGAGAGAGAGATAGAGATCCCTGAATCTAATTTCTTTTTGTTTCTTTGCTTGTAATCTGGTTTTTGTTGCTTTGTGGGTTCTTCTTTTCCCCACCCTTTATCTGAAACCTCCTGCCTTGTTTTATCCCCCTAATCACTAGGTAGTAGAGAAAGGAGGACAGAGGAGTGAAAAAGAGATAGATATTCATGAATCTAATTTCTTCCTTTTGCTTCTTCTTTGAGCAAGACTACTAACAAACTACAATCAAACCCCCTGAACCCACAACCACCCGCCATGGCTCTCGGGGCCCTAGCATTTATATACCCTCTGAAAAGTTCCCAGAATTCCAAACATCACACAATCATGGACACTATCTGCAGCTGTCAAAACCATGCCTCTGCTAGAGCACAAGGCAACTCATGATCTGCTGCTACGGACAGTCTAAAGCAGCCCCACATCCATATATCTGGGATTAAAACGAAAGCACATTCTTATAGTATTTCTGTTTTTAAAGAAAACAAAATTCCAAAATTGTCACTACAGAGATCAGTCTTCAGCGAAGCAGCTTCATGTTATCTTGCGAGGCACTGAGCATGCCTTATGTGTTCACGAAACACACTGAAGAAGGTAGATACATGTGACCTGTGAGGTCACACAACGGCATGTGGCATTAAAGGGGCCACTGAAGGTGAAAAGCTTGAGTTGTGTGATCTGACAAAGAACTTTTAATAGCAGCCATACCTCTGATGTCAGCTTCCCAGCAATCTGCATTCTCTTGATCTCTGCAGGAGACTTAACTAGCCGTAGGTGCTGTATCAGCTGTTGGACACTCCGAACCTTGTTATTGCTTCTGGCTTTGGCTTCAGTTAGATGCTGCATGTAGTCAGAGTGGAGTTGAGCATGAGAAGGCTTCATCCAGTCATACCAAACCATGCTCGTCTCAGCTTAAAAAGGGAAGGCAGAAATAAGTTTAACAGCTGCAGAGGCTGAAGGTGTACTTCAGCGGTAGGATGTATCAGAACTGGAAATAGCTCAACGGTGGAATACTTGTCTAGCACACACAAGGCTCTTATTCCTTCTAAAACACAAACAGCATAACAACAAGAAATATGTTGAGAAAGATAAAACTATAAAATCTATTGCGTGGAATCCTGAAAGACTGGGTGACACTTTCGCAAGACTGAAGCATCTACTGGGTTTGACATAAATCACTGGAAATGTCATTCTTTGAAAGGGGTGTGATACTCTGGGAGATACATAGTTTTCTGTCATAAACGTCAGTGTTCTTATGAAAGTGACAAATGAAACTAAAGCTTTATTTAAGTTTGGATTTTTTTTTTAAACTCTTTTTTTGAGGCATAGTTTCTTTGTGTAGCCTTGGTTGTCCTGTACTCATTTTGTAGACCAGGCTGGCCTCAATCTCAGAGATCCACCTGCCTTTGCCTCTCTGAGCACTGGGATTACAGGTGTGTGCCATGACACCCAGCTCCAGGCCAAACTTTTTTTCCCCCTCTCTCCTGGACTCAGCTCAGGCCAAACATTTTAAAAATAAACTTGTTATTAAATGTACAGTGCATGGAAAATACTTAATTACAACAGTATATGCTTCAATTATTTGAAAACTTAAACACTCTCTATTACTTATATTCAGTGTACGGAATTAAAGCTCAACATTTCCTGGTTTGTCTGACAGTGCTGGGGTTGAACATGTGGCCTTGGACATGCCAGGCAAGTGATACACTATGAGATACAACTCCAATGCAGGTTTTTTTTTCTTTTAAACTTGTAAATAAATTTATTAGATTGATTAATACTTTCCGGTATCTAGTACTTTTACCCGTCAAACTACAGAGAATAATGGCTCAGCCAGGCATGGTAGTAATGGTAGCACCTTTAATCCCAAAGGCAGGTGGATCTCTGTGACATTCAGGACAACTAGAGCTACACTGAGACTCTGTCTCAGAACAAACAAGCCAAAAATCTCAAGCAAACAAAAAGAATACTGAGGGGACGGTGAGACTGCTCAATGGGCAAAGGTGCCTGGCCACCAGGAGACCAGTGAAGGGAGAAATGACTCCACAAAGTTGCCCTCTAACCTCCATACGTGTGCTGTAGCGTGTCTGCCCCCACATCACACACACAAAATAATAAAAGTAAACTTTAAAGATATAGTGGATTAAAAAAAAAAAAAGAAAGTGAATGAGTGAGGTCCTTTCAAGAAACACATGCACTGTGAGGACTTACCTTTAGATGGTTAAAGGAAATAAAAAAAAAAAAAGTAAGTGTAAGAATGTTTATGTGAAAAAAAAAAAAGAATGTTTATGTGAGAACTGTATTACATAATAAGTAAATAAATCTTAAAAAAGAAAAGAAAAGAAAAACGTGTGTGTGTGTGTGTGCCATGTTTACGCCTGCTGCCTGCAGAGGCCAGGAGAGTGTGTTAGATCTCCTAGAAATGGAGTCAGGCTAGTGTGAACTACCACATGGGTACCAGAAATCAAACTGGGTCCTACGGAAGAGTAACCAGTGATCTTAAACACTGGGCCATCTCTCCGGCCCAGGTTAATTTTGGCTGCCAAAGCTGCCAAAGACAACAACTATGTAAGCAGGTAAAAGTCCAGAGAGAAAATGCTCTTGGGCTCAGTAGTTATGTGGGTTTGCCCAGTCACAACCCGAAGACAGGGCTTATCACCCAACTCAGGCTGATCTTAAACTTTCAGGGATCTGCATGTGCCAGTCTCCCTGAGTGTTGGGATAAAACGGTGTGTTACCACATTTAGCAATAGTTTTGATTTCCACAAAGGACATGTCTCTCTCCAGGAGAATTATTTTAGAAAATTAACTACTACAGGCCAACGAGGGCCTGGACTCTACCTTGGCCTGTGATCTGACGTTGTTAACATTACCTTTCAGTTTTGGTACAAGATGTTGAAATTCTTCCAGTGTGTAGGCTTCGTCCACTCCAGTGAGGGCTATGGCTCCATCAGTGCCAGACCGAGGGCCATCCCACAGTTCCCGCCCAGGGTCTCTCCGAGGCACAAAAAGCATGGCCTTGTGGGATGGTAACTGCCTCCCAGACAAGCTCTGAAGAACCAGGATGCTGTCAGGCTCTTGAAATCCACAGAGATACAGGAAATTGTTGTCTTGGTGGAATGTGTAGGGGATGTCGTTGCTCATGTAGTATGTAGGGTTAGAGAGGACCACCACTGCGTGGTCTGTCCCACTGTGCTCTTGTGCTTCCTTGTGGATCAGAGCCATCAGTTTATGTCTTCGAAGTGCATATTCCACCTGAGAGAGTCCTGGCGTCACCTCCCCTGAAATTGGCAAAGAAAAGAAAAAAGTCAATTCATGTTTTGAAAGGCTACACTGCTGGAATATTTAAAATCATTAACATCAGATAAAGACATCTACAATCATTTCTTTAATGACATGGTACAGGTAGTAAGTAAGATAACCCAGGCTTTTATTTCACTGCAAAATTGTAGTCAAGTGTGACTGCATTTGAAAAATTGTAATGATGAACCTATAAGCTTTTGTACAGAGCTTTAGTTCATTCTTTTATTCATCTAATCAAGTATTATTTAAAAATATTTATTTTACTCATTTTTATGTGTATGGGTATTTGCTTGCATGTATGTTTGCGCACCATGTGTGTGCTGGTGCCCTCAGAGGCTAGAAGAAGGTGTTAGATCCCCTGAACTGTAATTACAGATGGTTGTGAGTCACCATCTGGGTGCGGAGAACCAAACCTGGGTCCTCCAGGGCTGCTATGCTGAGCCATCTCTCTAGCCTCTTACAGAACATTATGATGTGGTAGGCACTGACAGGCATGTGGTCAAAGTTTCCCTGAGATTTCAATATATTAAGTATATTTTACTACATTCTTTTTGTATAACTTCCATGTAAAAAGAATGCAACTTCCACAAAGATATATGTTTTGATCTGTTCAACATGTTCCCAAGGCACAAAATAACTGGAATATAGTAGACTCTTGATGTGTGATTGTTAATGGTCTACAGTTTTTGTTATAACAGTTGGCAAAAAAAAAAAAAAAATTCCCCTCAATTTTAAGATCTCTTAAAAAAATTCAGTTAGGTAGTGGTGGTTCATGCCTTTAATCCCAGCACTCAAGAGGCAGAGGCAGGTGAATTTTTGAGTTGAAGTCAGCCTGGTCTACAGAGTGAGTTCCAGAATAGCCAGGACTACACAGACAAACCTTGTTTCAAAGGTTTAAACAAAAAACAAACAACAAAGAAACCCTGACTCAAACAAACCAACCAACCAACCAAAACCAAACAACCCTCCCCACTCAATCTTTTCTGAATTCCTAAGGTGTAATGTAAAACCTGCCACCCTTTTTCTTGTATTTACAGTGACTGAGGCATGTCCACTGACAGCCACAGTAACACTAGCCACAGTTGAGGCTGTTATGAGAATCAATAAAGCATGTAGTTCCTTCCACCCCCTCTAAATTTTTACTTAATAGTCACTTATTCCTCCACTAGCTTATCTGTGTGAAGGTGGCATTTACATGCCACATGCAGCATTCAGAGGATAATCTGCAAGGGTCAGGCCTTTCCTCCTACCTGGTCCTAGAGACTGTTTGGGCTGTAAGATTTGGCAGCAAGTGGCCTTTTTTTCCCCTGTTAGATTTAATTTAATTTTTCTTGGGGGGGGGGGTATTTGTTTGCTTCTTGTTTTTCGAGACAGGATTTCTGTGTAGCCTTGGCTGCCCTAAACTCACTTTTGTAAACCAGGCTGGCCTCAAACTCACAGAGATCTGCCTACCTCTGTTTCTGAGTGCGGGGATTACAGGTGTGCATCACATGCCTGGCTTTTCGTTTTATTTTATTTTGAGGCAGGGTTTCTCTGTGTAGCCCTGGCTGTTCTGGAACTTGCTCTATAGACCAGGCTAGCCTCGAACTGAGAGATCTGTCTCTTGAGTGCTGGAATTAAAGGTGGTGTGTTACCACCAGGCTTATTTTATTTCTTTTGTATGAGTGTTTTGCCTGCATGTATGTATGTGTGCCATGTCTGTGTCTGGTGCCCACAGAGGCCAGAGGGCATCAGATACTCTGGAAATAGAATTATGATGGTTGTAAGCCTCCATCCAGGTCCTCTGAACACCATTTATGGGCTGTAGAGATGGCTCAGTGGTCAAGAGTGGACACTCTCTTGAGGAAGACTTAAGTTAGGTTCCCAGGTCCCATGTTAGATGGCTCACAACTGCCTAGAGCTGTAGCTCAAGGGGCTCCAACGCTTCTGGTCTCCAAATATGAACTCATATGCACACATCCACACAACTAGAAACAAAAAATTAAAATCAAAAGAGTAATTTATCAAAGCATATCCCTTCAGCTTTCACTTGATGTTGACAATAACTTTGTCTGAGATAGAAACACCTTCAGTGTCCAAGAGCGCCCTGACCCACGGCATACCAAGGGCAGAGGAAGTGATTTGTGTTATGGACATTCCCACCTCACGGGCTGGACTGTGCTACTTCACAAGACTCATGGGCTTGTTAGGTTCCTGTATGTTTCTATTTGTACTTTCTTTCTGTTCTCCCGGGTGAACTATTAAGCAGAACTGATTTTTTTCCCCTGCCTGAGACAGGGTTTCTCTGTGTAGCCTTGAGTCTCTGGACTTGCTTTGTAGCCCAGGCTGCCCCAAACTCAGAGATCCATTTGCCTCTTTGTCCCAAGCGCTGCAGACTCTGGGTGTTTAGGAGTTTCACCTGTCCCCTGAGTCCCCAGCCTCCCTGCTGACTCCACATGGCAGACTTTGAGTCTTTGGCAGTTTTCTACTACTAGGGAACACCTGATGTTTTCGGAGTTTACTACATGTACAGTAATGGCAGCTCTGTATTGACTCATTAAATCTAGAAAATGACTGTTGCACTATTAATTCTCCTGGTCGTGGCCTGTCTCCACGTGTAAATCGGCAAAGACAGCTATGAGGCAGTACTGTGTGAAAAGGTACAGAGCAAAACCAGACACAGACAGAATTTTAGAAAAGAAGCCTACTTTTTTCACAGTGCTCTATCAGGAGTGAGATTAGAACACACTAATAGAAACCTCTACTCAACCTGCTTCTGTAGTACTTTAATTTTAAGGTGTATATGCTTTATAATTAATTTCCTAAAGAAAAAAACAAAGTTGAAAAGTGAAGCTTTGGGCTGGACATGGTGGTGCACACCTTTGTCAGGACCTGGTAAGCACAGGCAGGGGATCTTTGTGAGTTCTAGGCCAGCCCAGCCCACTCTGAGAGTGTGTCAGAAAAAAAGAAAAAGAAAGACACTGGGGCCAGGGAGGTGTCTGAAGCATGAGGCCCTGACTTTGGACCCTCAGTCTCCACGTAAAGACATGAGCTCAATGGTACACATAATGCCGGTGCTAGAAAGACAAGACAGATGATCTAGAGCCTGGCTGGCCACCCAGTCTAGCTGAACCAACCAGGTCCAAGTCCGCTTGGATACTGTCTCAAAAAGTAGAGTGGAGAGTACTGACGTGAAAGCCTGAAGGTGACCCCTAGTCTCTGTAAGCATCCCTGAGCATACGAACATCACTGTCGTACTGGACCCACACTTCCAGGCAACCCCCATTCTGGTCGGCATTTATACAAATTCAGCTTTTCGCTGCTATGATAATCATCACTGCACTTACGTCCCGACAACTTTATGCCCTATACATCCCTGTCTCCCCTCACCCCCTCCGTGTGTGCCATAGTTAAATATGCTAAATCAGAGGAGGACCTTGGAGTTCTCTTTGTAACCATGTTCAGCATGCATAACTCAAATGTTTTATGCCTTACTTTGAAACTGTCTAGTTTTACTTACTTGTATAGAACTAATTCTGCAGTTTGCATTCTATTAGTAAAATACATTTAGGCCAGGCATGGTGACACATAGCTCTGATCCAGCACTTGGGAGGCAGATGCAGACAGAGCTACACAGTGAGACCCTGTTTCAAAAAACAACACAACAACAACAACAACCAAAATCCAAAAAACCTTATTTAATTAATAATATGTATAATAAAAATTCCTTTTACTTTTATTGATGATTAAAAGCCATCTTGTTACACGGTCACATAGGTTCATTCCTCTTTTATATAAAACTTCAATTTGACCAGGTCTTGACCCACTTTCTAAAATTCGACTTGTTCCATTCCCTATACCCTAACCTCCACCCTGATAAGATGTTCTGCCAAATAATTTTGAAATGTTCTGCCAAGTTCCTATGTAACAAAAAAACCCTTGGAAACTCCCTAGCCTTGCAGTTTTTTGGAGCTATCTAAGCCCCACTTCTTTCTATGTTCATTGCTATCTTCTCAACCTCCACATTAGGGAGATTGCCCTGTTTGACCAAAAATAAAGCTTGCTTAATTTGACCAAAGAATTTGGATAATGGTCTTTACTTTCCTTCAGTGAGATTAACAAAGAACCCATCCCCACATCTTTTTCCTTCTGAGATGGAGCCTCCCAAGTCTCCTAGAACTCGTGGGCAGAAATCTGGACTTTGTACCACAGCCAAAACACAGCTTAACTCTCTAATAACTATTCACATAAAGTTTGCCACTGTTTCCCAACATTTGAAATTTCCCAGTCATCCAAGCAGCAAGCAAAGCCTGGTGGTGCATGCCTGTGATCCCAGAACTCTGGGAGGCAGAGGCAGGCAGATTTCTGTGAGTTCAAGGCCAGCATGTTCTACAAATTGAGTCCAGGACAGCCAGGGCTACAGAGAGAAACCCTACGGTAGGGGGAACGAAACCAAGCAGGAAATGTGTGTGCTGTACATGCATATGTGTAATGGTGTGTGTGAAGGACAAACAAGGTCTGACTGAGAAGTGAAGTGAGAGCTCCCTGCAGTGGGGAGAGGGCCTGGGAACGGGCTATTCAGCAGACAGCAAAAAGCAAGGACTGATTATAATTTGAACTTCTGATCCTCCTGCCTCCATCTCCAGAGTGGTGGAATTACAAGCATGTGTTACCACACTTAGTTTTCAAGGTTCTGGGGACTGAAACAAAGTTCCTTGGCATGCTGGGCAAGCACTCTACCAACCGAGCGACAGCCCCAGCCTCACTTAAAGGCATCTTTCCAGCTTTATTTAAAACATTTCTTTATGAAATCTACTTTCCTAAGAAATTTTGTTTGAAAAGTCTTTAAAATATTGGCCATATTTTTCCAAGTCTAGTAATTATCAACAGTTTGGAATGATCATTAGATATATACTTTCAAACTTCCAAAATCTCCAAACAGTAAAGTAATAAACCACAAGAAAAGCTTACGCAGGAAAGGTAACTTTTCATCTGGGGG